CGTCAACCAGCAGTCTTCCTATTCACGACGCTTGATGTGTCGGGATACTCTCAGACTTAAGTCACCCGTGCAGCAGAAGCCTCGCGGACACCTAGTCGAGATGCGCATTTCCCATTTACGAGGGAGCTGGTAGCTGGGGGCTTGAGGTGGGTGAGCGTTGATGTGCGGTGGGGTGGTGGTGAGTGAGGGAGGGAGGGTGTGGTGCAGCTGGCGGTTGTCTACCGCAGGCGTTCGTGGATGCGCATGTGACCGAATAGGCCCATGTGATACTTGGAAAGTCGAGGGCAGTGTGGACAGTGGAGGCGAGTGCGGTGGGTGTAGGTGGGTAATCCAGGCACTGGTTCGCCAGTCTCTGTGCGATGGATTCTCAAGTGACCGACCAGGCCGATGTATGAGGTGAAGGTGCGGTTGCAGTGAGGGCAGGTGCAGTCCTGGTCCTCACCTCTGGAGTCGGAGGTTTTAGGGGTGGTGCCTGTTATTGTGCCAGGGTTGTGCTGATGTGCGTGACAGCCGCCAGAGCGGCCGTCGTTGGGGCAGTGGAGGAGGAGGAGGAGGAGGATGGGGGGTGGTGGTACAGAAGAGCAGTCGGAGTTAGTTGGCAGCGGATAGGACGAGAAAGAGGCGGACGGAGTGGCGAAGTTTGGTGCGGTTCGAGAAGCGCAGTTGATACGAAGGTTTCCAGTAAGTCCAATTCGTGTCTGGAATGTCCGCTGACACCGAGGGCACGTTCGAGGCGGTTATGCGTTGGCGGTGCGAAGTGGGTGCATCTGTGATTTGCGGGCTTCACGTTTCGCTTTGGCGGCGGCGATGCGGCTGGCTTTGTGGATCGCTGCTCCCGTCTTCACTGTCCTTCTCCAGGTCGGTCGGTCGGTCGGTCGTGGGCGAGGTCTTCCCAGATGGTAGGGGTAATTTGCAGACGATTCAGGGAGGACATCAGAGTATCCTTGTATCGGCGAATTTGGCCTCCTTGGTGGCGAGAACTCATAGCGACGTCTCTGTAGAAGAGTCGTTTGGGAGGTCGCTCGTCGTTCATACGCACTAGGTGGCCGCTCCAACGCAGCTGCAGTTGTCTCGGCATGGTGTAGATACTGAGAATTCCCGTTCGCTCCTGTAAATCAGTGTCGGGGATTCGATTCTGCCAAATCAGCCTCAGGATGCGACGAAGACAACTGAGGAGGAAGTGGTTGAGATGGCGTGCCGGTTTCGTGTACACTGTCCAAGTCTCCGCCCTGTACAGCAGCGTCGACAGGATGACGGCCTTGTACATCTTCAGCTTCGTGCTCAGTTGGAGACCATGAAGATTCCAAACTATGCTTTGAAGGCGACCGAAGGCTTGACTGGCTTTCGAGATCCTGTTGGCGACTTCGTCGTCGATCTTGGTGGTGCGGGAGAGAGTACTGCCTAGGTACGGGAAGTTCTCCACCACTTGCAGTTGGGTTCCGTTTGCGATGATTTGCGGCGCTTTGGGGAGGGACTGTGTTGGGTGGCGGTCGATGCATGACCACCGTCTTCTGCGTGTTGATGACCAGGTCGAAGTTGTCGCAGGCAACGGAGAACAGGTCCATGCTCCATTGCATGTCCTCTTCCAAAGTGGTGTTCATGGCGCAGTCGTCGGCGAAGAGAAGTTCGTGGACGGTGGTTGTGTATACGCGTGATGGGAAGTGCATCCGTTGTTGATTCAGAAGGTGACCGTCTGCCCTGTAAGCGATGCGGATCCTGGGGCGTTCATCACGGTAGTCGTCCATCAGCATGGCAGAGAACATAAGACTGAAGAGGGTAGGCGCCAGCACGCATCCCTGCTTCACTCCGTTGGTCACTGTGCATGCCTCTGAGACAGCTTCGTTGTCCGTGCCTCACGCCATCATGCCGCCCTGGAGCTGACGCATCATCTGAATGAATCGCTCGGGACAGCCGAATTTCTGCCTGACCATCCACTGTCCTTCACGATTCATCGTGTCGAAGGCTTTTGTCAGGTCCACGAACGTAGAGTACAGGTGAACCTGCATCTCCTGGCACTTCTCCCGAAGTTGACGGGCGGCGAAGATCATATCTGTGGTCCCGCGATGTCGACGGAAGCCGCACTGGCTTTCCGGCAGAAGGCTCTGTTCTAGATGATTATTCAGGCGTTCGACCGTCGATTTCGACGATGTCCACCGTATGCCTCACAGCAGATGGTGAAAGCAGGGACGATGACTTGCGCAGGGGTTTATAGTGCCAGTAGACTTGCGTCGCATCTACCACACTTTCTCCTTTCCCGCCTGAGTCCGGTGTCAAGACAGAGTCAAGAAGACCGGAGATGAGGGAGGCCGCAGGTGGATGACTTGGACGGATCCGCAGCCTGGCACTCCACTCCGCGCCCCCTGGTCAACACAACAAATAACCAGGATTTTGACCGCCAAAGCAATGGAGGGCGTGGCAGTGGTCCCAAATTGTGCGGCGACTGCCGATAACAGCGTCTGCCAGCGCACCCCCTATAGGTTGGCGTTTGTTATTGCGAAAAGATAACGCACTTAACACGGGGCATGTTTGGGGGACACATACACATTTGATTAAGCCGTCGAAAAGTTGGCGCTGTCCTATTAAGGCATCGCAAAGATGACAGTTTATATGACCAAAACAGAACTAAATCATGACGATGCACATAGGGACCTGTAGTGATCTCTGTGGGTGGCCGGCTTGCGGCAGACTGATAACGATAAAGGACGTGAAAGGAAGCCTGCCCGCGGGACGCCTTTCACTTTCGCTCAGTTGGTGTTGACCTCCTATCACGAGCTGACGGAGAGGCAAAACGGCACGTCTACGCGTGCGCACATCAACATCTCGCATGATTTGTCCGCACGCACATACCTTGGCCACACATGAATCTATTTCCCATCATGCGGTGCACGCCACCCACGAAGAATCATGCTTCTCTCCTGCAGCAGGCATTTGATTCGCCCTCCCCCCCCCCATTGCCGCCCCATTGCCGCTATGGGTGGTGAAACGTCGCGCGACTGAATATGCACATGTTCCTTGCTGTATCTTGGTACATGAAGTGGTGACCAGATCGTGTATGGTACGCGTGGGCGGGATGTTTAATTCTGTCAGTCACTACGCCCAATCCCATCACATCAGCCGACTGACAGGTCTGGAAGGTCAGTTTGGGCGGTGGGAAGGAAAAAGCAACAGTTCGACTGTCGTGACCGACAATGTCCACCGTGTGCTCCACAAAAGGGTGAGAGCAGGCACTGTGACTTACGCATGATTTAGTTTATAGTGGTAGTAGACTTGCACAGCATCTATCACACTCTCCCCTCTCCCCATCTGGGCTCGATGTCGAGACATCGTCAACAAGACCGGAGGCGAGAAAGGGCGCAGGTTGCTGTCGCGGCCTGAAGAGCACCTAGGCGTTCCACCACACCCCTGGTTCACAACAAACATTTGACCAGGAACTTAACAAACAAGAAATGGTACGGTGACATAGATCCCAACTGGTGCAGCGTGTGCCTGAAACTGGCCCTGCCACCGCACCCCGAAGGTTGGCATTTGTAATGGGTGTGCATTCCCGATAACGTCTGCCAGAATCGTCTACGGCTCCCATGTTGGCCCAGCGCACCTACCGCGTGGCTCGTTTTGGGGGCAGCAGCAAAAAGCAGAGCATTCCTCACTATTCTAACTTCGATGCGTTTGAATCCAGCAAGATGAGCAGAGTCGCGGCTCGGAAGACTGCCAGTTTGACAGGATAAGTCCGTCTTGGTGGGAGTGTTTTGGAGTGATTAGAGGACTCAGAGCCAGGGTTACGGAGGGGACGCAAACGGTGCAGAGTCACGGCTTATGGCAAAAAGACGACGCAAACACGCGCCTTTCAGCAGGCCAAGCCGGTCGCAGCGTGTCAACTCCGGCAGCCAATTAGCGGGCGCAGAAGTCTCGAGCACGCGTGTGGCTGATCGAGCATTCGATATTTTGCCGCGAGGGATTCTCGCGCACTAGTCGACCAATCAACGACCGCCACGTGACAAGCCGGACGTTTCTGGAACACTCTTCACGTGTCGGCAATCGATAGGACGGAGTATTTTAAAACGCTTAGGGCACCAAATAAATACAGCGAGTTTGGATAAGAATCCTTCGTGCTTGCAGGCTGTTAATAAAGTGCTGGTTTTCTGAACCGGCTCTTTTCTGTTCCACCTGCCTGTCGGGTCATAACAGCCAGGCTTGATGGCTCCTTCCTAATGTGGCCTTTATGACGCTCTCACTGATGTAAAGTTTGAACCATCCTTCCGAAAGCCTGGCTTATGCGATGGGACAGATAGGGCGCGGCACGCGCAGACAGGCTGTTCAGTTTCGTTCGCCACTGCGCTCGCGCCACCCCCCCCCCCCTGTGGCCTCCTTGACTCTGTCTTGCCACTTGGCGCAGGAGGGTGAGGGAGGATAGAGTTTAGTAGATGCTGCGCGTGTCTGCTATCACTATAAACTAATGCATGTTTAATTCATCGATGCTGCGGCCACTCAGAGTGGCACGCGATGCACGCCGTCGTTTGCGGCAGTTGAGCTGCATGTTTGAGAAGCACAAGTCAAGGTGGCAGAATGTAGCAGACAGTATTTACTGAGGCAAGGTACGCAACCTGCTTCGAAGTGACCTCTTACGAGAGCCATTTCATAGTGTTAAAAATTCTCACAATTAAAAACTTTTTAAAACCTGAATTATACCCTTCCTTCGAGTATAAAATCTGAAGAAGGCGTAATTTTCGATCGAATGAACAAAAAAAGAATGCGTGATGCATGTTTTCCATGAAATATGATTGAATTTTTAAGGGCGTCGAAAATAAATAAGAAAAATACATGCTACTTAAGTAGCCTTTTTTCAGAGTTTAGTTTTTTCATGCAGCCGGAAAGAAGTTCGTTCAAAATCTTACATCCCGAGGTAACTGAATTATTATAGAATTATACTGCACAATGGTTAGTTTTACAAACCTACTTAATTAACCTTTTCGAAGCGAAAACCCATTTCGGAATTTCGGTTGACATTTCGTGAGTTGTGCCACCTACTGTGAGTCTTCATTGTACTGACGTTCACAGTACAGGATGTCGGCTTTCGAAAGAACTTATTTTCCGCTGCATGCAAGAGCTATACTCTGCAAAAAATGACTACTTAAGTAGCATGCAATTTTATCATTGATTTTCGATGCCCTTGAAAATTCAATTATATTTCATGGAAAACATGCGTAAAAATATTCATTCTTTTACTTATTCGGTAGAAAATCACGTCTTCTTCCAATTTCATACGCAAAAAAGAGTATACTTCGGTGTTTAAAAACTTTTATAATTCCCGAATAATTTTGAACCCGACCTGCTGTTACACTTACATTCAGGGTTTCAAAACTACAAACTGCATATTTTCCGTGTACGGAAAACCATGCATTTCTCTACGGTGTTAAGAGGAGACCATATGAGGTTCATAAAATTAAGCAGTGGATTTGAGCAATATTGTTAACTTTACAAGCCACATTGGTAAATACAGATTCATGACGTTTCATGAACGGCCATTTAACGGTATTAAAAAACCTCACAATTATAAACTTTTTTAAAACCGAATTGTACTCTTGTTTTGAGTATGAAATTGGAAGAAAACGTGATTTTCTACCGAATAAGTAAAAGAATGAATATTTTTATTTATGTTTTTCATGAAATATAATTGAATTTTCAAGGGCAATGAAAAGCAGAGAAAATTGCATACTTCTCAAGTAGTCATTTTTTGCAGAGTCTAGATCTTGCATGCAGCCGACAATAAGTTCTTTCAAAAGCCGACACCCTGAGGTAACTGGATCATTATAGATTTGTGCTGCATCATGATTAGTTTTACATCACTACTTAATTTATCATTTCGAAACGAGAACGCATTTCGAAATTTTGGTTGAAATTTCATGAGTTAGCACATCTACTGTAAATGTCCACTTGAATCACGTGTGCCAGCACCTGAGCCTGGAGTACGACCGGCCGATGATAGCAAGTACGCCAGAAACAGCCGTTTCAACCCCTCTCATCCGTTTGGTAACTTCCTCTAGTACAACTATCTCCTCGCCAGACAGGCGATTGAAGGCGAATCATGGCAATCCATGATGGATACTGAGATCAGGATAGATCCGTGAGCACGTTCTCCATACTTCAAGGACGGCAAGTATGAACGCCTTCATGTCCTCTAACCGACTGAAATATGCGAGGCCAGCTCCTGGGTCGGTATGTAATTGCAAAACACCTCTGGCTGTGCAAGTGTTACCGGCACAGTCGGCAAAACCCTAACTCCATACTCCGGTTCTCTAAGGGGCTGACTGAATTAAAGACCTAGTGAAAAGATCTTCCTGCATCTAGTATCGCACAGCACGGAGCACTTTACAGGCTCATTTACAGCTTGTAACAAAAGACATTTTAATCTTTAGAGCGTTTCAACCTCTGCCGAACCTGAGAAGGCGTGTGATGAAGAATTTATTCCAAGTTCACATAAATAATTCCCGAGAAAAAAGGGAACTGGCATCCATTGGTGGTTCGAATCCCTTGCAGATGCATCGTGCAAAAGCACAGCATCAATGAAACATGTGACTGAACTGTTGACCAGTACTCGCGCTAGGAGTTTGGTAGATTTTAGGGTAAGGGGATACCATATTAACAGCACATGTACTAGTCATAAACTCATACACGCGTGCTTCGCCGATATTCTGCCTCTACATGACACAGCTGCGAGGGGTTCGGCTGATCAGTTAGTCTCCCTGCATTACCCGTCTGTTTTCTG